ACAGAAAAAGAGTTACCTACAGAGGAGATGGTCAAGATACTTTCTGTGTTGTCAATAAAATTTCACTCAACACTCTTTCTAGAAAATAATCCCAAAGACAAAGCTTAAGAATTCAAAGGTAAGCTGTCAGAGGGCAGAAGAGAGAGGAAAGCAAGCTGGGATAAAAACAGAAAAGCCATCCATGCAGGGCTGGAATCTACATGAGAAGCAGCTGAACACTGGATACAAATAACCCTAAGTCAGCGCATGGACAGCAGACCAGGAAATCGTACAAGAAATGAGCAATAGTCCCAAGACTCACTGATGAGCCTAGAGAACACCACTGTTAGGGGAAGCCAAGAAAAGCCAGGGCACCAGCATTTCTGAAGAGTGGCCACATGTGGAGGTGAACTAAAGGAATAGAATGTAATTTAGAGAATAAACACGAGAAAACTTTGACATAAAGATGATTTGAATCTGATGATCAAAAAGGTGTATTGATTTCAAGAAAATCTGCATAAGTAATTCAACACCAATATATTCCTACTGAAGTTATAAAATACTAAAGATAAGGAAAATCTCATATGAATATTCATACCTCTGGGTAGAAAAGCAGATACAGAGAGAAAATCAAGACAGAAGATCAACATCCAAAAGTCCTGAGGGAAAGGAAGCATGACTAAAGGCAGTTCTTCAAGTACAGAGATAATAGAGACAAGCTCAGACATGTGAGTTGTCAGAGATAAGACTCAGTTCCGCTTGTGAGTGAAATCTACCCAAACAAAAGTTGACTCAGAGTAAATCCTAGAGGGAAAACTTTGGATTTCTAGTGCTTCCATAACAAAGCACTGTAGCTTGGCTGCCTTGTGTGGAAGTGAGTTTGGCTTTGCCAACAATACCTGACAGAAATGATGCATAGGAGGAAAGATTTCTTTCGGCTCACAGTTTCAGAGAGTCTAAGTCCCTCACAGTGAGAAGGACATGGTGGAGTCTTCAGCAGCAGAAGTGTGTAGCTGAGGCTTCTCATGTCACAGTCAACCATGAAGAAGAGAATGAAAGCCCAGCCCTAGAGACCTGTCTCTGCTTCCCTTCCAGCAGCTTGGGACCAAGCATTCAAAACGTGAGCCTGTGGAGAATATTTCAGGCTCCAACTGTAGCATTCTGTCGATGGCCTCAGAGTCCCATGGCCATCTCATCATACAAACTCATTTGCTCCAACCGTGAGGGAGTCATAGCACCAATGCTCTTCATGAGTCCAAGATCAACCAGTTAGCTCTTACAGCACTGCAGGCTTTCCTAGCCTCTGTTCCAAACTCTTCCACATTCTTCCAACAAACCATTTCCACAGGTCAAAGGACCACATGGCCAGGTCTACTCACAGCAACCTCAGTTCTCTGGTACCAGTTTTTCAGTTTTAGGTGTGTGTGTGTGTGTGTGTGTGTGTGTGTGTGTGTGTGTGTGTGTGTAACAAAACACCTGACATGAAGAATGTATGGGAGGCAACCTTTGTTTGGCCCTATGATTTTAGAGGGTCCATCATAGTGGGGAAGCATGGCAGAAACCAGGCACATGTGGTGGGATCACATCACATCACAGCAAAGCTGGAAGCAGATGCAGAACCAGAGCTGGTCTATAACCCCCAAAAGCCCAGTCCTAGTGACCACTTCCATCAACCAAGCCCTACCTCCAGTGGCTCCACAGTCTTCCAAAATAGTACCACCAGCCAGGGAATGAGTGTTCAGAACACAAAACCCAGAGGAGCATTTCATATCAAGTCACAATGCTCACAACAACTAGAAGTATGAAATCAGGGTGTTGGTAGGGCTGTGGTCTCTTAGAAGACTCTAGAGAAGGATCCTTTGCCCTTCCAACCTCTGGTGGCCCAGATTCCCATGACCACAGCAGTGTATCCCCAGCTTTCAGACTGCACTCTCCCTGGCTCTTCACAGGACATGTTTGTGTACATGTTTATGTCAAATGTTCCCTTTCTAGGATGATATCATTTAGATTAAGGCCTGCTCTAATGCCTCATTTTAACTTGACTACCACTTTAAAGGCCTTATTTCCAACTAAGTCCTATTTCCAGAACACCAACATATCCTTTTTCCCTCCCCTCTGGAGAAAGACACAATTCAATCCATAATTCTGAAATAACACAGAGACAGTGAGTTCCGAGCCCATTAAAGATGGAGCAGAACACAGCAGCAAGAAGCACAGATAGAGAACTAGCAGAAAGGAGGCCAGCATTAGCGATGGTCTAATGAAGGTGGCGGGGTGCTTTGACAAGCGCCAATGTGGATAATAGCTTTAAATTGAAACTGACTTGGAAAAAAATAGCAAATTCAATCTCCTAATGGATTTTTGGTTGTCATTGTTCTTAATTCTAGAATAATTTGTCTCTAAAGAATGATTATATCTCGTGCAAAAGAGGCAACCGATTTAGTGATTCCGAATTTTGCTTTGTTTTTTTTCTGCTTTTCCATTCAAGTGAAAATTAATGCTTTTCATGGAAAAAAGCATGCAGAATTATCCTAGTTTTATAAAATTGTACCTGTTGTCCCTTCTATGGAGTCTCAAGCCCCGCTTCAAATGTTGATGATGGTTACCTAGGGGCAAGGGGATTTACGGGGAAGGGTTTTTCAACTTTGTTATATACATTTCTAGATCACTTGAATCTTTATCATGACTATGTTGCTTTGAACAAAACCTATAAAATCCATTCTCTTTATCTTTCACTTTCTCTCTCTTTTCTCCTTATTTCTAAAAATGCTCTTTGCAGGCGTGGGGGAGCTAAGAGCAGGAAGGTCCATTGGGTGCTATGGGGGAGTCCATCGAGCAGGCAGAAGGCGGGGGCTGGGGTGTTGTGACAGCAAACAGATGTCTGTCCTCAGAAGAATGTTATCAAAGTGGTTTCTGTCCCACGGTGTGGCAAAAGACTCCTTTAACTACAGATGCCACCCTATGCATTTATTAACTTTCCACGGTCACACTTGGCCCCTGGAGACCCAGGGAGCCTCCAAGGTCAGCAGAAGGAGTCAGGGCTGCTTCTAACTTTTGAGAAAATTTAGCATTAAGCCAGGCATCATGACACATACTGTCTGTCTTCTCAGCACTCAGGAGGTTGAGGAGGCTGAGACAGGAGGATCAGGGTTTGAAGGACACCCTGGACTACAGGGTGAGTGTAAGAGTGTCCTGAGCCACAGGGGAAAGAAAAAGAGGAGGTGAGGAAGAGGAGAGGGGGTGGGGAAGAGGGGAAGGGAAGGGAGGAGAAGGGAGGGGAAGGGAGGGGAG